CTTAAATTCTGAGAATTCCGTGGATGCCCAAGTACATCATAATCAGGAAAGCCCCAACACCTCATCATGACTCAGACATATCTCACATGGCTCATTGTCCCTGAAACAGGATTGAGGTTACCAGCTGCTGGTTAGTTTTTGTGCCAATCTGAATAAAGGAGTCAGGTAGTCAAGTGTGCCCTCTCCAGCCTCATGCCTGGATTCTTTCACGTTCCCTGCAGTGGGTTGAATAGTGGCCCTCAAAAGGGTATGTGCAAGTCCTAATCCGAGGGAACTGTGAATGTGACCTTATCTGGGGAAAGAGTCTTTGCAAATGTAAATTAAGGATCTTGAGATGAAATCATCCTGGATTATTCTGGCAGACCCTAAATCCAGTGACAAGTAAGAGAGAGAAGGGAAGAAGGCCCAGATCCAGAGGAGAAGTCATGTGAGGACAGAGGAGGCAGAGATTGGAGTTACACATCCACAAGCCAAGGACTGCCTGGAGTCACCCGAAGCTGGAGGAGGCGAGGAAGGATTCTTCCCCTCAAGTCCCCAGAGGGAGCTGCTGATACCTTGATTTCAGAATTCTAGTTTCCAGAAGTAAGAGAGAGTAGTTTTCTATCATTGTAAGCCACCAAGTTAGTGGTCATTTGTTACAGCAGCCCTAGGAAACTATTATGTGCCTTAATGTGCAACCAGTTTCTTTCAAAAAGAATAGAATTATCCCAAGTGGCAAAGGGAGGGCTCCCTGTGAAGCTGTCACAACACCCTTCTTGCCACAGTGCTGCCCCAGAGCCTTAAGATGCCACAAAGCTCTCAGGGATGAAGGCTCATCTGGGCACACTGCCTGCCTGGTACCCCAGCAAGGACAACATGCCTCCACTGCACATGGTGACTGCAGTCACATATCTTACGTGTATAGAAGATTTGGAAGATTCTTTTGAAATGCTTTTCCATTTTTTCTCAAATGGTCCTGAGTGCTCAACGAGGCCATTATGTAACATGGAGAACTTGACAAAGATCACTTAAATGGCTCACCCAAGAATGAGAACCAAGGTTTTCCAACTTGGACCAATGCTCCTTCTACACCTCCGCTAGGCAACAGCCCACACTTGGGACAACGAGGAGGCTGTGAGGTGATGGGAAGTCTGCAGTCATGTTTCAAACCGGAAGTATCCTAGCCTCCTTCATTTTGACTGGATGAATAAAACGTGTGTCCTGAGCTCCTCAGAACATCAAAGAATTAGATGTGGTGCTTCTCAAACTTCGCTGTGCATATGAATCACCTGGGGAATCTGGTTAAAATGCAGTTTCTGATTCTTTAGGTCTGGGGTGGGACTTGAGATTCTGCATTTGTTACAAGCTCTCAGGTGATAACTGAGCTGCCTGTTTGTGGACCACAATTTTTGAGTGGCAATGAGATGTAGCTGCTGGCTAATTTCTTCACACAGCAGTAATTAACCATGCTTGCCCTCTAATTCAGTAGTAAGAACTGTGGTTCTGAATTTATCATTTCAGGAGAGATTGATGACACTCAAGTTGGCAGTGCTTAGAGAAAAGTTTTATTATGGATCGATAACCATAAAAATATTCATACCTTTTGGTCCAGTAATTCCACTTATGGGTGTTAATTCTAAATAAATAATCCCAAAAGATGGAAAAACCTATGTGAACAACGGTGTTCTACTACAGCATTATGTATACTAAAAAAATTTAAAATCTGTGTCTATTATAAAGGAAATTATTACATTAATTATAATAAATTCATTCAAGACAAAAGCAACATGTAAGTAAAGGAATAAAAATTATTTGAATGACACGGGCAACAAATTAATGGATTAACCATTTCAACAAATTTTTCCCAGATTGAGAGTCTATGGAATTAAGGTATAACCATGGGCCCCTGTCTCTGTTGTATTTTTTTAAATTGGGTGGTGAAGACAAGGGTGATGTCCTTACAATTCTTATGCCTTTCTGTATTCCTGAAATATTTCAAAATTTAATTAAAAAAAAAAAAACAAGATGGCTGGGGACAGAATGAAGAACATTATAACCTACGTGTTAAGAGTGTCAGTATTATAACAAAGTGAGCCAGATTGCCCCCAAAAAAATTTGGTCTTGGCTCTTGAAGGTACCAGAGACCATGGAGAGCAAGAATAAAGCATGGGGCTAACCAAGAGGAATGGGTAAAGTCTGTCTCTGGATCTTTGGATCCCCAGATACCTGCCCCACTAGAAAACTATCTCTCCCCAGTTTAAACCACCATAAAAGATGAGCAGTTTATTCTCCAGAGAAACTGAGTCACATCAGTTCAGAATTCAGGCAGCTCTCATCATAAATGGCCAGGTGAAAACAGCAAATTAATTGAAGATCAACATACTGAACAGTGGGATCTTCCATCCCGTCTCTGCCTGGCTCTCAGCCCTCCAGGAGCTAGATGTATATGCCCACAGGCAAGAGCCTAGGAAACTACAACCTGTGGGCCAAGTCTACTCCACTCTACTGTTTTTGCAGATAAAGTTTTATTGGAACCCAGTCACACACATTTATTCATGAATTATTTATGACTGCTTTTTGCTGCAACAGAAGAGCTGAGTAGTTGCAACAGACACCATCTGGCCTATAAAACCTGAAATATTTACTGTGTCTTGCAGAAAACATTTACTTACCTTGCTCTAGAGAAAAATCAATGCCCCCCAAGGAAAACCCCCAAATCCCTCATTTGGAGCTCTAGCAAAAAGTCTGGTGAAGCCCTGTCCACATACACACTGAGTTCTCCAAGCAGGTTTTAGTATTTTACTCTTACAGACAAGTGGATGTCCAGAGATTTTCCAGACATTCAAGGGAAACCCCAATGTGATGGAGTATGATGCAAACAAAGAGCAAAAGGGACTTGGAGGAACCAAAAACTATTAAAAAAAAAAAACAGAAAATAAAAATATGGAATTAATATCCTCAGAAATATTAGTATCAGCATCACCTGGGTGGCTCAGTCAGTTCAGTGTCCGACCCTTGATTTCGACTCAGTCATGATCTCAGGGTCATGGGATTGAACCCCGCCTCGGGCTTCATGTTCAACAAGGAGTCTGCTTGAGATTCTCTCTCTCCCTCTCCCTCTGCTCCTCCCCCTCCACTCGCACTCTCTCTCTGTCTCTAAAATAAATAAATAAATCTTTTAAAAAAAAGAAATATTAATATCAGATATCAGAAGATATTTCATCCATACATCAAGAACTAGATCCTATGATAAACAAGAGTGAACTCTGGAAACTTAAGAAAGTGATAGCCCAAATTTAAAAAATAAATATATAGATAACAAGATGAAAAGGACTGTCAAGCAAAAAGACAAAAAGATGAAAAATGGCAGGGCAAATTTAAGAAAATTAGATTACCAATCCAGAATGTTCAATGTTCAACTAGAAAGAATTATAGCACGAGAAGACCAAGGAAATGAAGGGTATGAAATTAGCAAAGAAATAATACTTACTTCTGGGAAATTTTTTAAATCTCTTGCACCTTATACCCAGCACAGTAAATAAAAACAACCATCAAGGGCCAGGGTGAAATCTCAGAGCACTGCAACAATGAAGAGAAGGTTCTGTCTCTAGAGAGGAAAGACACTAAGCAAAAGAACAAGAATCAAACTGGATCCAGAATCAAACTGGATCAGCAGTAACACTGGATGCCAAAAAGCCCAGTAGAGCATCACCCTCAGAACCCTGAAGGAAGATAATTTTTTCCCTGGGGTTCTGTGTCCAGCACTGTCAGCCAAGTATAAAGATAAAATAAAAATATGTTTAGCCCTGCAAGGACTTGAAATAGTTAGCCTTTATGCATCCTTTCTTAGGAAACGACTCAAGAAGTATTTCAACACAATCAGGGAGTAAAACCAGTAAACGGAGTGAAGTCCAGAAAAGCAAGGGCTCCACACAGAAGTGAAGGACGTCCCAAGAGGGTGATTTTACATCAGGCGTGTAGGGCCAACCATCCAGACTGGAGCGAGAGGACTCAAGACTTTGAAGAGAGGACCTCTGGGAGACGGGGAGACAGAACTGAACAACGATTATGTAATGTGTTTAAGATGTGGAAAAATTATTGCTAGGCATTTTACAGATTTGTTAGAACGTTTGAAGAGGGTAATATGCTACTTAGTGCAGCAGAAGACAATTTGTATCTAGTTTAATAATGTGGACAATAATAAATACTGATTTAACAAAAATTATTATATGTCTCTTAGGAGGATCATGGGAGGAGGTGGGGGGGTGGGAGATTTGGGGACCGGTGAAGGGAAAGTTAAATCCTCATCTAAAATTGATAATCAAGAACAACTATAAAAACCAAATTTAGAAATATACAGGTAAGTGCTAAAGGAAACAGAAGAGTAGAAAGTATAAGTCTCTGTGAGAAGGGATAGGAGAAAAAAAAAAATCTCTATTTTTTTTTTTGCTAAAATTGCTGTTTCTGTGTGTGTGAAATCATTTAGTACTATTTTATTGTTTTAAAAAGATTATGTGGCCGTTTAAATTATAACTGAAAAAAACTAAGTCGCCCTGTGGAATAATGCTTATAATGCATTACCTCCTTTTGGTCTATCAGGATTTTAGTCTTTGTAATAAGGAAGTCTCCCAGGTAGGAACACTTGGCTGGCAGCCTGGAGGGCTTCTAGTGTCCTTGGTGTGACCCGGATGCCCTGAGATCCGTAGTCTCTGTGAGAGGGTGATACACAAGCAGGTTTGGACCTGTGTATCCGTCAGGCCTGCGCAGCCAGGAAGGGATGCACCAGGGTTCAGGTAAAGAGTAAAGTGGGGAGAAGATATAAAATGCCTACATAACTATGACTGCATAATGCGAAAATGATACATTCGTCATGAGAAGGAAACAGTTGGATTTGTCCCAGAATTGGGAGTAAAGGTGTTTTTTCTCTTTAACTTAGAATTATATAAAGACAGAATGTTTGTGTAAAAGAGAATACAAGTTTTTACAGGAAATCAGTGGCGTTCTTTGCTTCCCTCCTGCAGCTTAATTGCTTACACAGAACAGTATGTGGAATATGATCCTTTGGTCACGCCGGCTGAGCCCTCCAATCCCTGGATCAGCGACGATATCACTTTATGGGACATAGAGATGAGGTAAAAACAACAACAACAAAAAAGTTTTAATGTTTGAGAAGGAAAGAAATGTGAGGAAGAAAATCATGAGATAGTGAGATTACATTATTTCCTGTTTTAATTTGACTATTTTTATCACTAGAACAGAAACCCCTCAAGTTACCTCCTAAGTCCTGCCCACACATGGTTCTACCTCCCTATAGCTTCGCTTTGTACATGGATCCTCAGTGGCTTCCTCTGACCTCTCTGTGACCCTTGGATATCATGATAATGGGGACAGTCCTTCACATTTCCTAGTTCTTTTTTTTTAAGATTTTATTCATTTATTTTGAGAGAGAAGAGTGAGGGGGGTACAGAGGCAGAGGGAGAGAATCAGACTTCCTGCTGAGCGCAGAGCCTGACAGATGCGGGGCTCGATCCCACGACCCTGAGGACCCCAGCCAAAACCAAGAGTTGAGCGCTCAATCGACAGCCACCCAGGTGCCCCCCAATTTCCTAGTTCTGATTGCTGGAGGGAAAAAAATCTGTCAGCCAATTTGTTTGTATATAACAGCAGCAGGAACAATAGTAAGAGCGAGCACGGACTCAGCACCCGCCACATGGTGTCTTGCCTGGAGTCCCCACAACAGGTAAACAGTAGTGTCATCATTGAACAGATGAGGAAACTGAGGCACAGAGGAGTTAATGAACTTGCTCGAGGTCACACAGCAAGTGGGTAGCAGAATTAGGGTCAGAACGCAGACAGCAGGCTCCAGAGCTGTGGTTTTCATCACTCTGCTCTTGGGGAGTGACTGCAAGTAGCTTTTTGCCTGTGAGGGAAGGTAGTGCGTTCATTGACTAGCCCAGGAGCCAAAGCCCAGAGAGACTTGGACCAGAGTCACAGTCACCGAGGGAAGCGCACAGACACATCTGGTGTGGTGTGCCTTTGCACCCTCTGCCCCTCGGCTAGAAGACTTTTTATTTCATTTTTCATTTCTTTATCTCTCCCTCATTCGCTTTCACTCTTGCTCTTTTTCTGGTTTCTTATCCGGAAATGAAAAAAACCTTATAAAAAGTAATAAAAGTCTGGGGCACCTGGGTGGTTCAGTCAGTTAAGCGTCTGCCTTCGGCTCAGGTCATGATCCCGGGGTCCTGGGATCGAGCCCTGCATCGGGCTCCCTGCTGGGCTGGAATCCTGCTTCTCGCTCTCCCACTCCCCCTGCTCGTGTTCCTGCTCTCGCTGTGTCTCTCTCTGTCAAATAAATTTTAAAAAAATCTTAAAAAAAAAAAATTGTTAGTTTAAAATACTGGAGAAGGGGCGCCTGGGTGACTCAGTCGTTAAGCGTCTGCCTTTGGCTCAGGTCATGATCCCAGGGTCCTGGGATCGAGCCCCACATCGGGCTCCCTGCTCTGCGGGGATCCTGATTCTCCCTCTCCCCTCTCCCCCACTTGTTCTCCTGCATGCTCTCTCTCTCAAATAAATAAATTGAATCTTAAAAAAATAAAATTAAAAATCTTTTTAAAAAGTAATGAAAGTCTTTTGTGACTTTTATATTTTGCTTATTATAAAAAGTTCAAACTAGTCAGATGTACATAACAAAGAAAAGTCTCTCTCCCCACCATCCAATCTCACTTTCCAGAAAGAATCTTTGTTCATAGTCTAATGCCGTGGTTCCCAAACTGAGCCAGGGCACCCTGGACCACTGCAGGGAATTCACAGGGTCACCCCAGGCTATTCTGTATCCTTGAGGGAAACACCGTGACGTCTGACATGTGTCCGATACTGCATAAAGTACTAGCTTAACATACTTCACCGTTTTCAGCATTTCATATGACATTCTTTTCTTTGCAAATCTGGGTTTTCAGGGCAGTTGCTATGATAAAAGGCAAGTACTGTGCAAAAATCAAAATGGAACAGAAAATGAGCGTGTTGGGGTCCAGTTTGATTCCAAAGTTTGAGAAGATGTGCAGCGCTCAACAGGCCCACATTGTAGTTATTTAAGAATGAAGTAAACATTGTTTTTTCTTTCAATTTATAGGTACTTTGTAGCTAGTAAGTTTTTAGGACATAGATATTTATTAAGTCCTTTGGACTTGACTATTTAAAAAACAAAGCCGTTACGTAGTTTTTTTGGCCCGGGGCCACCATGGAAAAGTTGCTAACACACTAAGGGTGCCATGAACTCAAGGAGTTTAGATTCTTATGGGTACACAGTATCATATTCTTCTGCATAAATGGATTCATTATCTATACATTGTCCCATAATTTTTTAATTAATACATCATGGGAACACATATAAATCCCCCTTATCTTTTTCAGTAACTACACAGTGTCCCCTTGCATGAGTGTAATAATGTATTTAACCAGTCCCCAGGTCATAAACATTAAGGTTATATCCTTTTTTTTTTTTTTGCTAGTATAAACAATGATGCAAAGAACATCCTTATACACAAGTCCAATTATTATTTTAGGATAAACTTCCAGGAGTGGAATTGCTAGGACTGGCAGGTTTATTTTGATTTTAGTTCATATGGCCAGATTCCTCTTAAGCAAAATAATATCATTTTTTTCATGCCCACAGCTTAAAAGTGTACATTTCCCCACATTCCTCACCAACTCAAGCATTATCCTCAGCCATTGTCAATCTTTGTCGTCTTTGCATGTGTGATAAGTTAAAGTAAAAATCTCATTTTCTTTCCACTTCTTTGTTGAAAGACTTGAGAATCTTTTCTCATGGTTGATATTCATTTTTCTCTTGTGACTTGACTGTTTTGTGTTCTTCACCCACTTTTCTAGTGGTGTATTTTGCTTTGGACATTGGGATAGAAAACAGTTACATTTACTTGGATTATAGATTTTATCTTTTCCTGATATTTCATGTTTTCCCGATCTCGTTCTTCTTGTTTCTTTTCCTCTTCCCTGATTTTTGCTTTATTAATCAAGTTTTGTATTAGCTTTCCTTACTCTAGTTTCTATGCTAATCATATTTACTATTGTTTTAATTTTTAATCAATGGCATCAATTCATGCAAATAATAATAAATTATGTAAAATAAAAAATAGAAATTTCCCTTTGCCTCCTCCAAATCCCATTCTTCTTGATAGGTATATTAACCTGATATATTTTAAACCAACATTTTGAGACTTAATATTTCTCCTTCAACATTAAAAGAAAAATAGTTTGTAGATGAATATCTTCTTTCTAATAGTTCTAACGTGCCCTACATCATCCCTTCTAATCTGATCCAAGAATTTAAATCTTCCCTTAACTCAAGGGATTTCTCTCTCTCTCTCTCTCTCTCTCTCTCTTTTTAATCATAATACTCTTTTTTCTGTTTTATCCTCTCTTCTCAGGAAATCCTCTCATAGAAACTCTGAGCCTCTGGGATGGAGCAGCCGTATCTCTTTATCTTTTTCTCTTTTATAATTCCCATCTCTTAGTCTTTTTATGTTATATTCAAGGATAGAATTCCTTGAATTACTCTTCAGAGTGTTCAGTAATGTCTATTCTGGCTTGGTGTTCAGTAATGTCTATTCTGTGATTTTATACTTCATGAGTTTTTCTTTTCCTACTGAGTTTTGAGAGGGCCTGTTGACAATCGTGCTTTTCATTTCCAAGAATTCTTACTATTTCTTGGACTCCTTTTTCTTAGTAGCCTCCTCTGTCTTTTTGATATTTATCCTCTTAAATCCCCCTGAGGGTGTGATACAGGTTTGGTTTGGTTTTGTTTTCATACTTCCCCTCTATTTCTGACATAGTCTGCTTCATTGGGGGTCATTTATCACAGAATCAATCACTGTGACTAATCACTGTTTAGAGCAGATCAGTCCATCTTTTCATATACCCAGCAATTTGAGGGACTGTTGGTTTTCATAAGTGAAGCTCTTGGCTGTCAACTCCGGCCATACATTAGAACCACCTGGAGAGTTTATTAAAAAACAAACAACAACAACAAAAACAATGCCCAGTCCCCTCCCTAGGACAATTAAATCAGAATTTTTGGCAGTGGGGCATTGGTTTGTCTGTTTGTCTGTTTGTTTGTTTTTCATCTGTCCAAGTGATTCTAAAGGGCAGCCCTGATCCAGACGGACTGGATTGTAGCTGATGAGGATTCCCTCAGTAACTGGTCGGCGGGGGGAGGGAGGGGACGGCGGGCGGGGTGGGGTCCGTGGTTTTCAAAACACAGGGTACATCAGAATTACCTGGGTTGCTCATTAAGAAAACAGATGCCTCAGGGTGGTTCTGGGTGTCTGTATTTCTGGCAAGTGTTCTAGGTGGTTCTGCGGCACAGCAGTTTGAGAAGTCCTTGTGTGGTTCACAGAGTCCCCACCGTCCACCCCAATGCAGGCTCTCCTCTGAGCCGTCCACATGGCTGTAGGGTTTCACCTGAGAATGTTTTGGGGGGCCATAGGTCAGTCAGCAGGGTCCCTCTGGGTCCTGGCCATGTGAGTCAAGAGCAGACTGAAAGACTGGGTCCCCTCTCAGAGCAGGACAGGTGGTAGAGCTCCACAGTTCCTTAAGCCGGGTGCTCTGCTCTGTCTCAGATCCTGATGGGGTTTCTGAAGTTCTTCAGTTTCCTCTCCATGGTGCTCCCAATAAGTCCACTCTTCTCCCTTCTGCTGAGGGGCCTTAGGGAGCCTGATTAGACTGCAGAAACCAATGAAAAGTAGGGAAAAGGCCAGAATGTCTTTAGAAGTTTCTCTGCTTTGCTGAGATGCTTTTCCCCTCTCTATTGGCTGTTCACCCCAAGATTACAGAGGCACTACTCCCTGGTTTTATTACCCATATTAGCAGCTGGCCAGAAAACACCCCCCATTTGCTCAGGAGACCCTCTCTGCCATAGGGAACCTCTGGTCCATATTTGTTTTTGTTTTTTTTTTTAATCTGGTACATATTTCTGAGTTTCTTCCATATGTCCCCGTCCAATGCCCACCAATTGCCTCTACTTCCGGTCCTGCTGCTCAGAGCTTGGGGTTTTCCCAGGCCTCTGTTGGGGACCCAGCTAATTTCTTTTCAGATGGCCCCAGAGACGTAGGTGGTT